TATAGACAGAGTGGACAGCCAGAGACTCTTTCCTAGGGTGGAGGTAGCTATTACGAGGGGGCATAGTTTTAAAGTGAGTGGAGGTAGATATCGGGGAGACGTCAGAGGTAGGTTCTTTACTCAGAGAGTGGTAGGGGCGTGGAATGCATTGCCAGAGAGGGTAGTGGAGTTGGCCTTATTAGGGGCATTTAAGCGGCTATTAGATAGGCATATGGATGATAGTATAAGGTAGGGGTGGAGGTTAGATAGACTTTAGGCTCAGGGTAAAAGTTCGGCACAACATCATGGGCCAAAGGGCCTGTGCTGTGCTGTACTGTTCTATGTTCTAAACTTGTGTTCTGTGAGAGGAAGAAGTTGACCCTGACTGAGTGTTGCAGACTGGCACATTCCAAGGTCCAGGACTACGTGCTGAGGGACGCACTAAATTTGGGGCAGCTGTCACCAAGTCACAGTGGGGACAGACCACTGTCTGAGGTTTTTCTGCCAAAGTTAAATGGGGGTCCATTCAGTTTTCAGACTCTCCCAGTGCCTCAAATGTATATAACTATAATCTTGTACAAGAAAGGCAGGCCCTGGGTTTGTTTGCCAGATAGAATCAAACTCCAATGTTTGTTTGTTTCTCCATATGCTACTGTACAGACTCAACTGGTTTAATGACTACCTATGTATATAAAGATATTTTTATTCGCAAGTATATTTTTGAAATAAAAAGATTTGATCCTTCAACCAATATCTCGAGAAGAGATTATCCAATACTTATCCAATTTCTTTACTGTCTGTGAACCTCACTTTAAGTAAATTGGCTTTTACAGTTCCCACATATTACACCACTGACTGATTCCATACCATCTGTTATATAATGAAATGCTTTCTTTCTTACCTGTTGAGTTTCAAGGATCCAATCAATTTCATGTCAGAGACAGTCACCTGAGCGGACACACTGGCAGACTGTTAACATTTGAAACACAGAATAAATTTTCTCATGGCAATTGTAAACATATTAAGAAGCATCTGCAAGTTCAGATTGTAATTGTACTCACAATGCCCAGGACAAACAGTGGTGCGAGAGATGAATTAGGGAGGATTGCAAACGTATTTATATCACCAGATGCCTGAATGGTAATGTTGTTTGGTGCAAGCTTTAAAACAGGCTGTTTGTTGGCATGGAAACTCATTAATATCAGCATGTTGGGGTAGAGTTTCTCCACCTAGAGACAGGTACAAGCTATTAATATTCGATACACTTTCTCTTGGGGACAAGGCACGAAGTATTATCCTCCAAAAACAATGTCTGAGGGGTGTAGAGGTCTGTTAATATCAACTTAAACATCATTCAATTCTCTGCAAGTGCTTACCTGAGGTAAAACAGCACCAAACGTTGATGTGTTTAATCTGATAGGAGAATGTTTGGGAATCTGAGAACAACATAAAGTCCATTAACCAAAAATATTACAGTGTTTTATGTGATTATCTTATCAAACATCTTGTAATGGGAACAACACATTATTATTTTGTCATTAAAATGCAACACAGTGTGAAATCCCTCTTGGCAAGATGTGTGGAAGATGAAACTGAACATACTGTAAATATATGTTATCTTTCAGATCTTGTAGTTCCAATAAGAAATCATAAGATGTAAGAACATATAAATGTAGGAAACGGGAGCAGGAAAAGACTGTATAGCAATCCAAGCCTCTCAGTCTTTATCTTATACAGGTAGTTCTCCTATAATGCGATAGTTTTCAGCATGATCTGAACAGGTTGGGTGAGGGGGCAAATCAATGGCAGATGCAGTATAATTTGGATAAATGTGAGGTTATTCCCTTCAGAAGCAAAAACAAGGCAGCAGATTACTACCTGAATGGCTGTAAATTGGGAGAGGGGAGTGTGCAGTGGGACCTGGGTGTCCTTGAGCACCAGTCGCTGAAGGTAAGCATGCAGGTGCAGCAGGCGGTAAAGAAGCCAAATGGTATGTTGGCCTTCATTGTGAGAGGTTTCGAGAACAGGGGCAGGGATGTGTTGTTGCAGTTATACAAGGCCTTGGTGAGACAACACCTGGAATATTGTGTGCAGTTTTGGTCTCCTTTTCCGAGGAAGGATGCTCTTGCTCTCGAGGGTAAAAGTTTACCAGGCTGATTCTGGGGATGGCGGGTCTGACGTATGAAGAGACATTGGTTAGGTTGGGATTGTTTTCACTAGAGTTCAGGAGAAGGAGGTGGGATCTCATAGAGACTTTTAAAATTCTAACCGGACCAGATAGGGTAGATGCGGGGAGGATGTTCCCGATGGTGGGTGTGTCCAGAACCAGGGTCACAGTATGAGAATTTGGGGTAGATGATTTAGGACGGAGATGAGGAGACATTTCTTCACCCAAAGAGTGGTGAGCCTTTGGAATTCATTACCACAGGAAGTAGTTGATGCCAAAACATCGAATGTATTCAAGAGGTGGCTAGATATAGCACTTAGGATCAAAGTTTATGGGGATAAGCAGGATTAGGCTATTGAGTTGGATGATCAGCCATGATCATGAAGAATAGTGGAGCAGGCTCGAAGGGGTGAATGGCCTCCTCCTGCTCCTATCTTCTATGTTTTTATGCTTCTACAGTTGCATTCATGTGACCTAACACTATCGAAAATCTCTGTAGAAAATCGTGTTATAGGGAAATCGCTATACCTGTACAGCAGAAAGTTTGCGTTATTCAAACAGTGTCCACTATTCATCAATCACGTTACAGCCAACTCGCTTTAACGAAACATGCGTTATCGCAGAACGACCTGTACAGCAATTCCACTTTCCTGCCCTATCACCATATCTTTTGTTTCCCTTAAAGTCCAAAAGTCTATCCATCACAGTCTTGATTATGCTCAACAACTGAACACTAATAATTCTCTGAAGTACACAGTTCTGAAGATACACAACTTCTTGAGAAAAGAAAGCATCGCTCATTTCAGTCTTAAGTAGTTTTTCCTTATCCTGAAACAATGCCCTCTAGTGTTGAGCCTTTACAACGCAGAGAAAGAGCTTCTCTGCATCTTTACTGTCAACCACTCAGAGTTTTGTAAGTTCCAGAAAGTTTCTGCCTTTTTACTCCATCTCTTCCAACAGGGCAATTTGTTCAACTCCCTTAAAGACAAGAATATTCTTCCTCGGGTAAGGGGATGACAACTACTTCAGGTGTGATTGCACCAAAGCCCTAAAAATTGTAGCAAGACCCCCTCACTCATTGTACTTCAACCCTACTGCAGACCTCTTTCCCTCCTGATTGCTCACCTCACCTGCATGTTAACTTCCTGTGATCCATGTGCAGTACAAGGACGCTCAAATCACTCAAAACTTAACAGATTTTCAATTTTAAAAAGTAATTCAGTTTTTCTGTTCTTCTGAACAAAGTGGATAATTGGACATTTAGAAATCTCAAAGTCAGGAAAACAGGGATGGCTTGAGAATTCATATCATTGAGAAGCCTTCCTAAAACCCATCTCTGATATTGTACTTTTACATCATCTTTGAGTGAGCAGCTTGTTGTGACAACAAACAGCAAAATAGTTTGAGCCTACCATTGTTGTCATTTGCTAAATGAAAAACTGGATGAGACATTAAAGATACGAAGATTTAAGGCCTGGGTTTGTATGCTCTGTTGATATTGGAAGTTTGCAAATAAAAATCTCATCCTTCATGCATTTGATAAGATCGAGTTTTAATATTCAACCTTTCCACTCAAATTGGACCATTTAGTCTGAATTGAGATTAATGGCTTATACTCCAGATTCATCTGATATTTTAGACTTTCAGCAGTACCAAACACATGTTCCTCCCTACTTCCAATTCCTCTGTCTCTGCCGCGTCTGCTCCCAAGATGGGGCGTTCCACTCCCGCTCATCCCAGCTGTCGACCTATTTCAGTTTCCCCAACCCGTTGATCGAAAATGCCCTCAACCGCATCTCTTGCATTTCCAGCACCTCTGCCCTCACACGCCCACCCCCAACAAAAATAATGACAGAATCCCCCTTGTCCTCACACATCACCCCACCAACCTCCGCATCCAACATATCATTCTCCGCTGCTTCTGCCACCTACAATCCGATCCCACAACCAAAGAGATATTTCCCTCCCCACCCCATCTCCTTTTGTAGGGACCGCTCTGTCCACTCTCCCTCGTCCACTCCAAACACCCCACTAACCTCACCACCCCCAGCACCTTTCCCTGCAACGACAGAAAGTGCTACACCTGCCCCTACACTTCAACCCACACCTCCTTCCTCACCTCCATCAAAACAAACCTTCCACATTAGATACGGGTTCACCTGCACGTCCGTCTATGTGGTCTACTGCATCCGCTGCTCCCGATGTGGCCTCCTCTACATCGGTGAGACCGAGCGGAGGTTCAGAGACCGCTTTGTAGAGCATCTGCGCTCTGTTCGCGACAAATGACAACATCTTCCAGTCGCAAACCACTTCAACTCCTTCTCCCACTCCCTGGGCGACATGTCCATCCTGGGCCCCCTACAGCGTCACAATGATGCCACCCACAAACTGGAGGAGCAGCACCTCATATTCCGCCTGGGGAGCCTACAGACCAATGGCCTAAATGTGGATTTTACCAGTTTCAAAATCTCCCCGCCCCCGGCCTCATCCCATGACCAAAACTCCCTCTCATCCCTGCCTCCTTGACCTGACACAACCCTGTCCATCTTCTCTCCCATCTATCCGCCCCTCCCACCTCACTGACCAATCCCTGCCACTGCCTACCTGCACTCACCTATCACCATCCCACCTACCTTCCCCAGCCCCACCCCTACTCTCCCTATTTATTTCTGAGCTCCCTTCTCCCTCCCCATTTCTGAAGAAGGGTCCCATCCCGAAACATCAACTTTCCTGCTCTTCTGATCCTGCCTGGCCTGCTGTGTTCCTCCAGCTTCACACTGTGTTATCTCTTTCTCCAATGACGTAGCCTTCCAAAGATTGAATCTATTCCGTTCAAAATAACATCATCCATTTGGTGGGAAAGCAGAATTTGAATGATAACATGGCTGAGGGGTGACTTTATAGAGGTTTATAAAATCATGAGGGGCATAGATAGGGTGAATAGTCAAGGTCTTTTCCCTGGTATGGAGAAGTCCAAATCTAGAGGGCACAGGTTTAAGGTGAGAGGGGAAAAATATAAAAGGGACCTGAGGGGCGACTTCTTCATGCAGAGGGTGATACATGTATGGAATGAGCTGCCGGAGGAAGGGATGGAGGCTGGTACAATAACAATATTTAAAAGTCTTCTGGATGGGTACATGAATAGGAAGGGTTTAGAGGGATATGGGCCAAATGCTGGCAAATGCTTGGCATGTATGAGTTGTACTGAAGGGTCTGTTTCCAAGCTGTACAACTCTATGACGCTGTGATGTCCTCTAAAGAGGAGACCAATAGTCCGGGAACTACTCTGTTTGTGAGTAAGTAGAAAGCACAGTTTGTACATACCATATCATCAGTGATCTTCATGATCAAGGCACCAGCTCTATAATAGGCAAATCCTGCTGAATTAACAAAGAAGTCTGACAGTCCCAAATACATCATGTGATCAGTTTGGTCAGAGAGAAGAATTGGTCGGGGTTTGAAGGGAGGTTCTTCACGCTTTACCACACTGTAAAATTCACCCTGTAAAAATGATTTAATATATCAAACTTCACATACATAATACATACCCCCTATCATTGTTCTCCATTTAGATAATATGCTACTTATTTGTTCTTGCTGATAAAATAGACAAGTTCATATCTGCCAATTCAACTAATGTGTCAACCCCCGTTATAGGCTCTACCTCCTCTTTACAACTTACTTTCCTACCTGTCTTGATGTTTCCCTTATCCATCATATATTTACTTCATCAAAAAACTAATAGGTTAGTTATACATCATCTGCCTTTCACAAGGCCACATTGGCTCTGCCTGATCAAATCATGATTTTCTAGGTATCTTGCTATAACTTCTTTCATGATGGATTCTAGCATTTTCTCTACGTCAGACTTAAGGTCAGCTGACCTACAATTTCCTGCCTCCTTCCTTTCTTGAATTAACGTGTTACATTTTCGATTTTCCAATCACTCCAATCCTCCCGGAATCCAAGGAAATTTGGAAGATTATACACAATGCATATGTTTGCGCCACCACTTTGGTTAAGACCCTGGGATGCAAGCCATCTGGTCTTGGGGACTTGTCAGCCTTTAGGTCCAGTAGTTTTCTGAGCCCCTTTTCCCTGATAATGGTGATTGTTTATCCCTCCCTATCACCTCTTGATTTTCAATTATCTGTGGGAAGTCTTCTACCATAAGGACTGATACAAGATGCCTGCTTTAAAGCCTCCAATATTTCTTTGTTTTCCATTATCAGTTCCCAAGACACTGTCTCTTGATGATTAACATTAGCTTCAGTTACTCTTTTTCTATTCAAATATCAGTATAAACTCTTATTTGGTTTCATATTATCTTTCTCATATACTCTACTTTCTGCCTCATTATTATTTTTCACAGCCATTCTTTGCTGGTCCTTAAAGTTTGCCCAATTCTCCGACCTATTACTAAGGTTTTGCAGAATTAGAGTATCGTAGAGATCTACAGCATAGAAAAAGGTCTTTCAGCCCATTGAATCTGCACAAGTCAAAACAACTATCTAACTATTGCAATCCCACTTTCCAACACTTGGCCCACAGACTTGTCTATCTTGACATTGCAAGTCCATATCAAGATACTTCTTAAATATTATGAGTGTTTCTTTGTCTACCACCCTTACAGGCAATGAGTTCCAGATTCCCACCAGCCACTGAGTGAAAATATTTTTCCTCACATTCTCTTCAAATCTCTTGCCAATTACCTTAAATCTCTACCCTGGTCATTGATCCCTCCAAATTCCATCCTACCTATACCCCTCAATTTTATACATCTCAATCATTCACCCCTTAGTCTCCTCTGCTCCATAGAAAACAACCCCAGTCTGTCCAATCTCGCTTCATAACTGAAACTCTCCAATCCAGGTGACATCCTGGTAAATCTCCTCTGTACCTAATAAAGGTGAGTATCCCACATGCCTTCCGACCGACTTTATCTACATGTCCTGCTATATTAAGAGACTGGTGTACATGCACACCGAGGTCCTTCTAATTCTTGGTGCTTCCCAGGGTCCTACCATTCATTTGTACAGTATTTCTTTTAATTTAATACAATCTTTAAATCCCTTATTTAGCCAAGGATGAAACCTCCTTCTCAAACAGCCTTTCACTGTCACTGGGATAAATCTTTGCTGAGAGTTACTAAAGATCTCCTTATCTGCCATTGTGATTCTACTGCCCTACCTTTTAACCTAGCTTCCCAATTCACCTTAAACAGCTGTGCCTTCCTCTCACTTCGTTAGCTTTTAGATTTAAAACACTAGTCATAGACTTACATTTCTCCTTTTCAAACTGAGCGTGCACTCACATACACACAAACATGCATATACATTCATTCACACGCACATAGTTTCTCTCAGACACACATTCATATATACATTCACTCACACACATAAACATGCATATACATTCACATAAACCTACAGAAACACACACAAATATGTACATTCGCACACCCACAAACATACGGAGATTCACATAGACGTGCCTACCCACATACACACTCTCTCGCTTTCACACAGACACACACACACACACACACACACACACACACACACAGTCACACTCACACGTGCACATATCAATGGATACCTTCAAATCCAGGTCCATGAATGCGTTAGTGATTGCAATTGGATTAACCAGGGAATATTCAATCACCGCATATTTGTCAACGTGCTGGACGACTTTGTTCATAGAAAGAAAAGAACATTGAATATTAGATCGGATCCCACTGAAAGTTAGAAAGTTATTGGCTTTGAACAGGTCACATTATCTGATTCTCATATTCCCATTGTGTCTTTTCTGATTACCTTAAGGTTGTGTCTTGTTCTCAACCCTTTCACCAATGTTAACAATTTTCCCTATCTCCTCTGTCCAGACCCTTGATTTTGAACACCTCAATCAAACCTCCTCTCAACAGTCTTCTCTCCATTGAAAGCCTTTCCAATCTATCCGCAAAACTGAAGCTCCTAATCCCTGAATCGATTCTATCCAAAGAAATTGGGGTATTCTATTTAATTGTTTTGCAAAATTATGAATTTTTAAACTCTGAAGCTATGGTTTTCCCAGCAATTCTATTATTATTCGAATAGACAAGGCAGTTATCATCACTATGACAACTCTCTCATGAAACAATTTTATCTGAGGAAGTTGAGAGAGTGTGTGTGTGTGTGTGTCCATGTGTACCTGTGTTCATGTGTGTGTGTGTTTGTGTCTGTGTATCTATGTGTAAGTCCGTGTCGACGTGTGAGAGGTGTGTGTGTGTGTGTGCACGTGCATTCATGTGTATGTGTGTGAGAGTCTGTGTCCATGTGTGTCTGTGTATGTGTCTGTCTGTGTTTGTGTGTGTGTCTGTGTATGTATATGTGAGTGAGAGTCCCTGTCCATTTGTATCTTTGTAGCTGTATGTGTCTGTATATGATTCAAAATCACTGAATGTTATGGTGCAGAATGAGCCCATTTGGCCCATCATCTTTACACCAGCTCTTTTGTTCCAGATGACTATCCGGTTGTTCCAGCTGGATTGAGCTCAATTTTTTGTTGTTTTGAGTCTGTGTTGCTTGCCATTTATTTTCTTTAGTTTTTTTAATACGCTGACCTGGACTGAGGTGAAAATCTAGCCATTTGGGCATGGTGTTATAGGACAGCATACCTGCGAGCTGAGCATTTCGAAGACAGTTGAGGGGTGGGATGCGTGCAGGGAGAGAATGTGAAAGATAAAGTTGCCTACCCTTCATGTTTCTCAGATGCTCCTCCAGCCCATTGACTGCACTGGAGACTTTTGAACAAATCTGTGTCAAAATAAAGGGGATAACAATCACAAGATTCATGGATACTTGCTTTGTAATGTGAAATTTCTGTCACAGAGAGGCAGCTGAATTATTTGACGTGCAACGGGAAATGTACCTGTCGGATAAGAGAAGAACGAAAGCGGCCCTTCAGGAAACGAGCGATTAGATTGTACACCCGTCTGTAAATAAACAAATAAATAAATAGACTTACATCTGGTTAAAGTAAAAGAAAACGTTGCACTATGTTTTAAGAGTCAGCATCCTAAACATTTAAAGTATTTAAAGTAATTCTCAAAAATGGTGCTAAACACATGAATATGTGAAAATTTACATTTGAAAAAAAAAATCCACCAAATTGGTTATCAATCACTCTTCCTGCGAATAAGACACCTGGTTTCATTGTTAAATCTTAAGAAATCGCAGCAACATTAAGGTTACCCCAGAAACATCAAATGTCAGGAATCTCAACACTGAATGTGATCACCGCTGAAAATGTTCTCATGTCAGTACTGTTTACAACAAAAAGTAAGAACACGCATTTATTAAAGGTGTTCATGACCTCAGGATGTTCCAAACTACCTCATGGTCAGTTGAGATATTCAGGAGAGAGGGTAACGTAGAACTAATGTCATCAGGGTTAGAAATCCAAGCTCAGAGCTAAAGCTTTGGGTGCTATGGGTCACATCTCATCAGAGCAGCTGGTGCAATTTAAATTCAATTCAAAGTCTGCAGAGATGACAATGAAACTACCCTAACGATGTAAAAGATCTGCTGGTTCACCAATGTCCTGCATGCTATCCTTACCTGGTCTGGCCCACATATGACTCCAGACCCACAGTAATGTGGTTGACTCTTAACTGTCCTTCAACTCACCTACATTCAAGAAAATGGTTTTCCACCACCCTCCGTGCGGCACAGTGGCTCGGTGGTCAGCACTGCTGCCTCACAGTGCCAGGGACCTGGGTTCAATTCCACCCTCGGGTGACTGTCTGTGTGGAGTTTGCACATTCTCCCTGTATCTGCACGGGGTTTTCCTTCCACAGTCCAAAGATGTGCAGGTTAGATGGATTGGCCATGCTAAACTGCCCATAGTGTCCAGGGGTGTGCAGGCTTTGTGGGTTAGCCATGGGGAAATGCAGGGGTACGGGGATGTGTCGGGGTGGGATCTCTTCAGAGGTTGACATGGACTCGATGGGCCAAATGGCCTGCTTCCACATTGTTGAGATTCTACGTTACAGATCAAGCCAAACTGATGTCCCACATCCTATTTGGAGAGCAAGGCTGAAAATAAAGATTCTGCATACTCCAGCCCCCAGAGGCTATAGGTCATCTCACTGGGTACCAGTAACGCAACAAGCTCAGTAGTGGGCACTGCTGGTACATTCATGAGGCCGCCCCAGGGAACCTGGCCAAAAGTAAGCCAAGGTATAGGGTTGGGAGTGGGATTGGGAAACCTCTGGCGGGAGGTGGAGGGTTCAGGTGTTTGGTTTAGCAGAGCAGGCAATTGGGAAGGAAGACAAAACTATCTTTGGAAGGTGCCCCTGAATGTGCAAAGGACACTCCCTGAGGACCATACCCACTTCCTTTGGGCCATTTTATAAATTTTCTTTACAAAACAAAAGAGAATCCCTTTCCACTTGCCTGCCCAAGCTAATGATTGGTGTGGGCAGCATAAAATCAAGGTCAACTGAACTTTTAACAAGCTCAATTGCCCCCTTACTTATTTATTTACCAATGGGTTGCTGACTTGGGCAGGCTCCCTTCTCTCATACCATGGTGTTGGAGATTTTTGGTGGGCATGGGGAGGTGGGCAGGGTGTGAGGAGGAGGGGTAGTTTTGGCTGGGCACCTGACCACCCCAGAGGGCAGAAATTCCATTGAGATCCCAGTGTGAATCAGATTATCCCTGTTGCGATCCTGGTGCCCTTCATTAAAGGAAGCTCCATCACCATCAAGGCTCAAGTAGTCAATTCAATAAGGGGCAGAGGGCTTTAGGGGAGGGGAGGGGGACAGAAGGGAAAGGGGAGGAAGACCATAAGACATAGAAGCAGAAATTAGGCCATTCAGCCCATCGAGTCTGCTCCACCATTCAATCATGATTAAGTTTCTCAACCCCGTTCTCCCACTTTCTCCCCGTAACCCTTGATCTCCTTGACAATCAAGAACCTATCTATCTCTGTTTTAAATATACTCAATCACTACAGCCTTCTGTGGCAATGAATTCCATAGATTCACCACTCTCTAGCTGAAGACGTTTCTCCTCATCTCTGTCTTAAAGGGTGTCCCTTTACTCTAAGGCTGTGCTCTCGGGTCCGAGTCATCTTCCCAACATTCGCTATGTCCGGGCCATTCAGTATTCTGTAAGTTTCAATTAGAGCCCCCCTCATCCTTCTAAATTCTATCGATTGTACACCAGAGTTCTCAAACGTTTCTCACATGTTAAGACTTTTATTCCTGGGATCATTCTTGTGAACATCCTCTGGACCCACTCCAGAGCCAGTATATCCTTCCTGGGATGTGGGGCCTAAAATTACTCACAGTACTCTAAATGTAGTCTGATCAGAACCTTATAGAGCCTCAGAAGTAGATCCCTGCTTTTATATTCTAATTCTCTCAAAGTAAATGCCAATATTGTATTTGCCTTCCTTATTACTGACTCAACCTGCAAGTTTACCCTTAGAGTATCCTGGACTAGGACTCCCAAGTCCCTTTGCACTTCAGATTTCTGAATTTTCTCCCCATTTAGAAAATAGTCCATGCCTCTATTCTTCTTACCAAAGCGCATGACCTCTCACTTTCCCATGTTGTATTCCATCTGCCACTTCTTTGCCCACTCTCCTAGGCTGTCCAAATCCTTCTGCAGCCTCCCCACCTCCTCAACACCACCCGTCCCTCCACCTATTTTTGTATGCTCTGCAAAATTAGCCAGAATGCCCTCAGTTCCTTCATCAGATCATTAATGTATACAGTGAAAAGGTGTGGTCCCAACGTTGACCTTGTGGCACACCACTAGCCATCGGCTGCCATCCAAGAAAGATCCTTTTAACCCCAATCTCTGCTTTCTGCCAGATAGCCAATCTTCTATCCATGCTAGTACCTTACTCAGCAGCCTCCTGTGTGACACCTTGTCAAAGGCCTTCTGGAAGTCCAAGTAGATAATAGCCATTAGCTCGCTTTGGTCTAACCTGCTCATTACCTCCACAAAGAATTCTAACAGATTTATCAGGCATGACCTACCCTTGATGCTGACTTTGCCCTGTTTTACCTTACACTTGCAAGTATTCAGAAATCCCATACTTCACAATGGACTCCATAATCTTCCCAACGTCTGAGGTCAAACTAATGGGCCCGTAATTTCCCATCTTTTGCCTCACTCCCTTTTTAAACGTGGGAGATACATTAACGATTTTCCAGTCCTCTGGGACCTTCACTAACTCCAGTGATTCCTGGAAGATCACCATTAACGTCTCCACTATCTCTTCAGCTATCTCCTTTAGAACTCTGGAGTGAAGTCCATCTGATCCAGGTGATTTATCCAACTTCAGGCCGTTCAGTTTTTCTCGCACCTTCTCCTTGGTGATGGCTGCCATAGTCACCTCTGCCCCCCAGCTCTGTTGAATTTTTGGGATGTTACTCATGTCTTCCACCCTGAAGACTGACGCAAAGTAATTGTTCAGTTCCTCCGCCATTTCTTAGTTCCCCTTTACTACTTCTCCAGCATCATTTTCCAGGCGCCCAATACCCACTTTTGTCTCTCTTTTGCCCTTTATATATCTAAAGAAAGTCTTGAAATCTTCCTTTATATTACTGGCTAGCTTATCCTCATATTTAATCTTCTGCCTCTTTTTTTATTTTTTGAAGGAGAAGGTGAAGCAAGGATGGGGCAGAGGGAAAGGGAATGGGGAAAGAGGAAAAGAAGGGAAGGGAGAGGTGAGTAAAGAACGGGAGTGAAGGTGGAGATGGGAGAACGAAGTGAGAGGGGCAGAAGGGAGGAGGGGGAAGAAGTTAGGAGGAGAGAAAAGGGAAAGTGTGGGGGAAGGAAAGTCTTAGGGTAGGAGAAGGGAGAGGAGGGGAGATGAGGAGGGTAAGAGGATGGAGGACGGGTGGAGAGCAGGGGAGAGGAATAGAGAGGGTAGAGGAGGGAAGAGGAGAAGGAGAGGAGTGCAGTGGGCAGTTAATTGCATTTCCCCCCCGAAGTATCGCATTATTACTTTGCTCTTCCGTGAAATTTGATGCTTAATTTGCCAATAGAAGCTGAACAGCCAGCACTGTGCACTGCTGGGCGGCCTGTCTCATCCCGAGTCATTCCTATTGCCTCAGATATTGACAAGCCGCTCACCGAGACGTCAAAGGAACCACTGCTTGATCTGTGGACACAAACACACAGGAGTAGTTACAAGACACTTCATGGAGAGAAGACCAACCGGAAAGCAAACTAATTAATCAACCGCACTCCCATGGTACTGCCCCAAGTGAATGTGAAGTGTTCCATTCCTACCTGTGAGCAAATGGAGAAATTCAGCTACGGGCTATCGTTATGTGAATTGTATTCCAGAACATTTTCAACAAAAAAAAAGGTCATTTGGCCCATCAGCTCCAGGTCAGTGTTTATGCCCCAGACAAGACTCCTTCCCTTCCTCTTCACCTCACACAATGAGATGTGACACATTGATAATGAACAGTTGATTAGTAATAGTTACTGTATCTATTATTCTGTTGGGTTTGCCAATAGAGTTAAGTTATTCTAAATTCGTCTTCCTTTGGTTGTATTTTAATTACAGCGTTTAAATGAATGATGTTTTGCTTAACATCGAGTAGTTTGACCAGTCACATGGCATCTGGAACATAGCACTTCACATTTGTCTTTAAAACAAGAAAGAGTCAGGGTCTAGGCTACCTTCTTCAAATACTTAGAGGGGTTTTAGTCTGCTCCTTAACAACAACCACAGTTCAGGAGCAGGGATACCTATTCTCCAAAACTGATGGGTGGTGAGGGTGGAGATTGTAGGACTGAGGGTCCGATGATGGCCCACAAGGTTCTTAATCTGAACCTGTTGGGTTTCCCCAAGGCCTGGCATCTCCAGCCAGCTCAGGGTTAAACCTGAACATCCGATGACAGCATGGGCTGCCAGCCTCGTTAAAATACATGAACTGTCAGCCTCAGCATCAGAGTGTGTTGGATGTCTGGTCCTGCTCCTATTTCTGTTAAATCAGAGGAGGGTTGTGCAGTGATTGGAACAAGGTCAGCCAAGCTGGACCTCATAGAATATGAGTTCCCTGACTGGGGCTGTTAATCTTGTCCAAACAGGGAGCCCCGGCTGACAGATAAAAATGGGGAGACTGACACTCTGGTAGCTGACTCTGAATGAGGCAGTACTGAAGTCAAAGACTATTCATGTGTAAGTAAAAGGTGACTTGGTGACAGATACAGGCCTCTGTGGAGTTATTACAGGTGGGATGACCACAAGCTGAAAACGTAGTCTATTTTAATAATATAGGT